GAACTTCCACTGACCATTGATCTGACCAGTGATCACACATGTTGTTCTAAATTAAACTTTGGTACGAACAGTGTTAAATAAGACATGTCATATTTTTTATTGAACAATAATCTTCATTCTAACAGTGACGTTGTAATTTCGGGCAGCACGGTGGCGCAACTGGTAGAGCTGCTGCCTCTCAGCGAGCAGGTCCCTGGTTCAAACCCTGGTCCAGGGGCCTTTCTGGGTGGAGTTTGCATGTTCTCTCCGTGCATGCGTGGGTTTTCTCCAGGTGCTCCGGTTTCCTCCCACAGTCCAAAAACATGCACGTTAGGCTGATTGGTAACTCTAAATTGTCCCTAGGTGTGAGTGAGAGAGTGAATGGTTGTTTGTCTTGTTTGTCTCTATGTGTCCCTGTGATGGACTTGCGACCCGTCCAGGGTGTACCCCGCCCCTCGCACAGTGATTGCTGGACATGGGCACCAGCGACCCCCGTGACCCAAAATGGAATAAGCGGGTAAAGAAAATGGATGGATGGATGGACGTTGTAATTTCAGAGACTGAGGAAGAAACAGAAATGAGGCGAGTGAGATGAGGGAAAGATGAAAATGTGTCCTCAGAGGACGGGAACATGTCAGGATCTGATGATCCAGGATCAACAGGACCATGAGGATGGATCAACAGGACCAGGAGGATGAATCAACAGGACCAGGAGGATGGATCAACAGGCAGACAGGGAATAGAGATGAAAACCTGAGGGAACAATTAGAACACAAAAACATACATAAGCAGGACAGAAGAAACTCACAGACAAGAAAATTAACTCAGTCCTGCGAAGAAAAATGTTAACAATGGAAAATAAATTGGCATATTTTTACAAAAGATCAGATGAAGACAACTGGCATGAATTCTTATTTCTTGTTCTGTCTTGAAAGAGTCTCATCTCAACTTGACCCATGATTACCAAACACTAAACTAATAATATAAAACTAATGTAAATGAACAGTCCTGCAGTAAATACCAACTTTGTGAAGGTTATGGTGTTAAAGTAATTTTATTCAAACATCTTGATTCAGCTGTTATTGATTAATAGAAGACAGAAAATGAGATCTTGTACCTTTGTGATACTTTGAATGCAACATTCAGTTCATGAAGTCATTCTCCTCTGGTTTACCTGGAAAACATGAAAACATCTCCACAATCATGTTTTTCTTTAATGATAATGTCACAACTTATGCTGCAGTCTTTGACAAATGATCTATAACTTTAACTAAATTACATCAGTCTTGTTGTCATGTTGTCATCTTTCTTTGTTAAATCAGGTCTCTCTTGTAAATGAGTCCTCGAGGCTCAATGGGATTTACCTGTAGAAATAAAGGTTGAATGAATCTCAGGAAAAAAGACCAAATATTTTCTAGTTGAGTTCAGTAACTGGAATTACCATAAATTTAAAAAAAGACCACCTTTCAAAATTTAAGCAGTAATAGATATTTTAAAACGTTGAATTAGAAATAGACCCGTTTAAACCGTCATGTTGCAGAGCAGCTGCAGTTAAAACACAACTAGTAATTTAACACGTTTCATTAACTAAAACTGGCGACATGAAGTATTAATGTTGATAAATTGTGGTACAGAACAGTCAGATAACGCTTCACAATGGAGAAAAAGTGTCGTATTTGCATTAACTTACCGGAAAAACACGGAAAATGAACTACGTTCAATGCTGAACCCGCTGCTGTTTGGAACTCTTTGCCGCTGCATGACCCACGTGACTTCCGCATTCCATTCTTTCTATGGGAGTCTATGGGAGTGTCGCAACTCTCTCTTTACAGGGCTCTGCTCTAAACTACTGGAAAAAATTGTGGAGTCTCAGTTGAAACAGTTTTTGGGGGATCACGCTATCCTTGAGTTATTCCAATCTGGCTTCAAATCTCTCCATAGCACTGAAACTGCTCTACTGAAGGTTTTTAATGACATTTTCATATCCACAGACGCAGGTGATTCTGTGCTGCTTGTCCTATTGGACCTTACATCTGCTTTTGACACCATCGACCACAATATCCTCATTTCTAGACTGGAGCAGTGGGTGGGCATCACAGGGTCAGCCCTTAAATGGTTTGGGTCCTACCTCTCTGACAGAACCTTCTGTGTCAATATCAAAGATTTTAGTTCAGCATCGACCGCACTCCAGTGGGGGGTACCGCAGGGGTCCATCCTCGGTCCCCTTCTCTTTTCTTTATACCTGCTGCCACTAGGTGCTATCTTCCGCAAACACGACATACCCTTTCATTTCTATGCCGATGATTGCCAAATTTACTTCCCCCTGAGGCACAGAGGCACACGCTCTATTCAGCCTCTTCTTGACTGCCTGGCTGACATCCGGGACTGGATGGCTTTAAACTTCTTAAGCTTCAATGAGAAGAAGTCTGAAGTCATGCTGTTCCATCCCAGTGGCTCACTCATGAACCATGACATTGACCTTTTCTCTCTAGCCCCGCTAGAGAAACAAAAGGT